TTTTTTGTTTTGTTTTTTTACGATTAGTTAAAATTTTAAAGGTCCCCTGAAATGCTTAGAAATGTGCAGCGTTACTCTGTGGATGTCATTTTAACTGGAACAGGAAGACAGGGCGGGACTTATCAAGCAGCACCGCCCCTTTTTAAGCCAATAGCTAGCGTTCGTTTATATCACAGCTTGGGCTAGAGCCGTTCAGAGCCGTTGAGCTCCGTAAAGCCGCATTTGACAGGGTATGCCAGCCACAATCTCATCCATATTGCTATAAAATATAGCATTCTGTGTAGAATTTAAAATAGCTCCGATACATTTTGTGGTCTGCACCGACTCACGCATGTGATCCGCTCCGTGCTATCGTGTCTCTGGACCGGAGCAGAGTGTGTGTGCGGTGGTTAGCGTGACACAGCGCCATACCAGACTACTTTTTTTCCTGAATGGAAAGCTTATTTACCCTGTTTGAATCGTTCCCTGTCCCCTATATAGTGCACTACGTGCCATTCACTGTACATAAAATACTAATTCTGTTTTTTTTTTTAGTAATTTTATAGTGTAGGGGGGGGGCGCTTCGGATTCTAGAGGGCATTTGATTGGACAGAAAGTTTGACGAGAAGCTGAAGTACGATGTGACGTCAAAAAAAACATTGAGCCGTTTTGGCGGAAGTGACGAACTGCAAGCTTTGAATGCTTATATCTTCTAAATGCGAATTTTGTCACTGTTTTGGAGCACACTGCCTTATAGATAACCTTAAGACTTGCATATTGATACTAACACCCAAAAAAAAAACTTTAATTTTGATTTCATGGGGACTTTAAAGTGAATCATTTGACTGTTTATTTTAAAAACTGCATTTAAATTGATGCATATAATGTGCATCTTTTTATTGATATTTTTGAACGCCGCTTCATTAAATTAGATATTAGGCCTATTTTTGCAAATCAGGTTAATTTAAGATGCAGGCCTGTGTTATGAACTTCCTTCAATTTGACTATAAAATTCCTGGAAATGGATTTGTGAACATGATTTCAACAGAAGGTCCTTGTAAACATTTAGTCCTTTATTCACTCATCAGGCCGTTACTAAAGCTGTTTAATTAGATGCAGGATCAGTTATGGACCGGCTGTGTCGGTGCTGGTTTGTCGTTCCCCCTGCACAAATAAACCCGTTTCCTTCTATCCCTGCGTGTTTGCATCCCACAGCTCACAGGGACGCTTGGTCTCAGACATTCTGCATCAGCCGCATGTCTTAACTTTAGTTTTAATAGTTCCAGGTGAATGTTTGATTAACTCCCGTGTTTTTGCAGGCTGCTTCCCCACATCCGTGGGAACGTCGGCTTCGTCTTCACCAAGGAGGATCTGACTGAGGTCAGGGACCTGCTGCTGGCAAACAAAGTGAGTATCACTGAGCGACTGTGTGGGTGTCTGCGGCTCTTCAGGGCTTGAATGCATCTCTTCATGTAGCTGTTATTGTTATCTGATGGTAGGTGCCCGCTGCTGCCCGTGCCGGTGCCATCGCCCCGTGTGAGGTGACCGTCCCGGCTCAGAACACCGGGCTCGGTCCTGAGAAGACCTCCTTCTTCCAGGCTTTGGGAATCACCACCAAGATCTCCAGAGGAACCATTGAAATCTTGGTGAGTGGCAGGAATGGGCGATCGATCAAATCCTGTTTCAATTACAATTTTGACTTCCAACGAATAAATGAGAAAAAAAAATTTATTATACTTTTTGCTTTTTATTTGGTAATTTAATTTATTTCTTGTTTTAATAATGTTAATTTAATTTGTGCAATTACAATTTTTGTAATTAGATTTTTTACATTTGATTTGTTTTGATTTTTATTTGCTAATTGAAATTTATTTTTTAAATAAAAATATTTTACAATTTAATTTAACTAATTGTTGTTGTCTTTAATTTGTTTTAGGATTTGTGTCTTTACAATTTTTTTATTTTATTTTAGAATGTATATTTTTACATTTATATTGATTTTTAAGATTACATTTTAATCGACAAAACAATTGTGCTTTATTTATAAAATGGAGATTTGTGTATTTGATTCATTTTAATAAACCTGAATTTATTCTTTTTCATTTGATTTATTTGTATATACTTGACTAAATTATATTTAGTCAAGGAAATCCTTTTTTTT